GTCTTTACGTTCCCTAATTCTAAGGCCTCTAGAAGGGGCATATTCATTTCTCAATGCTCCTCCTACCTCAGTAGGTCTGGGTTTTTGCTTGGAGTTCAGTCCTTCAAACTCTCCCTTTTCTTGTCTGCAATGAGCCCCTAAGAAATGTCATCTTCCTTTGTGTTTTAAGAGCCATCTGCATGCTGATTAATTTCCAGTTTCTCCACCAAACTGCAGAAGAGGATGTTGAAGCATCCAGACAACACCCTGCACCGGTCATCTAAAAGACTTCTCAGGTGCACAGGCCCCCATAGAGCAGTGGATGTCACCAGTCCTTCCCTGGGCACCCCCAGCACTCGGCCCAGTTTCTGTTGCTCACCCTCTTCTGCCAGGTTTGCACTGCACAGATCTCAGTGACTCCTCCCTGCACCCTTCACTACCCCAGACCTTGACCCGGGCCTCACCTCTGACTTTGATCATTTCTATAGCTTCGTTAGAACACACAAATGCCTTAAAATATAAATCATAAATATATTTAAGTTTTTTTTTAAATAATGTAAATCAGCCCTTGTCACCCAGCTGTTCATACCTTTCTTGTCACACACAGGATAACATCCAAAGTCCTCACCAGGACTCAGGTTCTCTGTACTAGGGCTTAGCCTCTCTTCCATCCCCTCCCATTCTCCCCTCCCCATCTGCTCTAGGCATGCTGGCCTTTCCTCACACTGCTAAGCACGGCCCAGGGCCTTTGCATAGGCTCTTTCCATCAGGTTTTGTTTGTTGTTTATTTAATTCTCAGCCCCAGTGCTGGCCACCTTATGGACCCTTGCTGTCCGTTCCACTGCCCATGCTCCTCGGTTCCTCCACTACGTGTTATCACAGGCTTATCAATTCAAATTCGTTACCGTCTTCCCTTCTCAAACACAAGCGCTTTTGGGTAGAGGACTCCAGTGTGCTTCCTCTTATGCCTTTGGCTTCTAGAGTCAGGGCAGTGAGTGACTGAAGGAGCAGCAGTGTGGTTACCAAGGGAACAGAGACTGATGGAAACTCTCGGAAGACTCTGGAGCACTGACCACGTGGACGCTATGGCAACGCGCATCGGATTTTCAATAAGCAGTTATGGAGTAACTGTCCGGGTGTCAGGTGGTGTCTGAAGCACCACACTTCTAGAAAGAAATAAAGTTCTGCTCACTCTACCTGTAAAGCGGGGACCAGAATAGAAACAGCGCTGTAGAACTATCTAGCCAAGTGTTGTTGAAGCATATTGGGGACGGGGAGATTGGTTTTGCTTGGGGTGTGCTCTTCACAGTGGAGGGGGGAAAAGAAGGGAGGTGGGTTTTCAGGCCGGCCTTGAACTTGCCAGAAGAGACGTGTGAGAAGCACACTACAAACACAGGAAAGGAGCTGCCTGCCCCGCCCACCCCTCGCCGCCCCCTCCCCACCCCGCCTCTCCCCCTACCACCATGCTTTCCTAGTTTCTAAGTTTCTCTCTCACCTTTTGAAGCCCCCGTTGTTCTCTGCTGTCCTTCTATGTCTCCCTGTCCCAACTGCATTCTGACCTTCGGCAAAGGGAAGATGACAGTTCCCATCAGTTGGTCCTCGCTGCTCAGCCACAGACATTCTCTGCTGTAGCTGTCAGGAACCTCGCACCCGACCAGGTATAGCTGGAAAATGAAAGCCACCTCACAACCGTGTCACTTGACCACAGTGTCACACGAGCACATGCACTTTAATGAAAGACTTGACAGTTTTTACGTTTACATAAAATTCCTCCTATAGAATCAAGACAGCAAAACAAGGGAGAGTATTTAACGCCCAGGAGTGAATATTACATGAACGAATGGTTGTATGAAATAATAAAGTGGATTTAACCAATTTACAAACACATTCCTAGAGTTTTTTTTTTTTTTTTGCAAGTAGTTATTTTGAATCTGAGACACATTTTACCTCAGAAACAATGTCATGAACGGCACTTAGTGCCAAGAATTCCCACTAAGGCCATTTAGCCCATAGTGTAGCAAGGGAATGCTGAAAAGGAATGAAACTGTGTAAGAATGAGCTTTAGATAATTTTGAATATTGGTGTTCAATGAAAGGTACTTTAATTAGAAGATGATATATGAAAAATATGGTTTGCTCCCCCCATGAGATGTCTGAGCCTTCGGAGGGTGTTGTGGGACGCTGTCTCCATTAACATCTCTTCCTAATGAAAGGGAGTATACTCTTCCCTCTGGTGTAACCGCGTCCTGTTCTAGTCTGTACGATCAGGGGTGGCGAGAACCACAGTCTGGCCTTGAAGAAGGCAGTTTGGGTCAGGACAGTTTGGAGACTGTGTGAGGGAAATTTAAGTGAACAGTACTTGGAAGGAAAATAAAGGAAAAGGAAGAAACGTGATAGGGTATGATGTCAACAGAAGAAAACAAGGAATATGGTGGGGGGGGCAGGGGGACTCTAGGCAGAAGGCATAAATAGCTCAGGCCAGAACTGAGTTCATTTTCAGTGGTGTCTGCCACACAGGTTTTCTTTCTTTCTTAAGATTTATTTATTATGTATACAGTATTCTCAGTATTCTGTCTGCATGTATGCCTACAGGCCAGAAGAGGGCACCAGATCTCATTACAGATGGTTGTGAGCCAGCATGTGGTTGCAAGCAAATGAACTCAGGACCTTTGGGAGAGCAGGCAGTGCTCTTAATGGCTGAGCCATCTCTCCAGCCCCCACACAGATTTTTCTTGCTGAAGCTGGCGGTATCTTTGTTTTGTTAGTACTGTGGTTATAACATTTTGACAAAAGCAACTTAAGGGAGAACATATTTTGTTCTGGCTCACAGTTTTCACAGCAGGGAATTTCTGGAGGCAGGAGCTTGCAGGAGCTGGCTACACAGTATCTTCAGGAGGAGCTGGCTACACAGTATCTTCAGGAGGAGCTGGCTACACAGTATCTTCAGGAGGAGCTGGCTACATAGTATCTTCAAGCAGGAGCTTGCAGGAGCTGGCTACACAGTATCTTCAGGAGGAGCTGGCTACACAGTATCTTCAAGCAGGAGCTTGCAGGAGCTGGCTACACAGTATCTTCAGGAGGAGCTGGCTACACAGTATCTTCAGGAGGAGCTGGATACACAGTATCTTCAGGAGGAGCTGGCTACACAGTATCTTCAGGAGGAGCTGGATACACAATATCTTCAGGCAGGAGCTGGCCACATGGCATCTTCTGGCAGGAGCCAGCTATACTGCCACTTCAGGCAGGAAGCAGAAGTAAGGGAATGCTGGAGTTTGTTTCTCTCTTATGTAATCCAGGACTCACGCCCAGGGAACAGTGCCATCCACTTTCAGGGTACACCTTCCTACCTCAAGTAATTTAAAATAATCCCTCGCAGACAGCCAGACCTAACCTAATCTAAATGACCCTTTCCTGGTGATTCCTGATTTTACCGATGTCACAGTCAACATTGAGTTCAGGTGGTTACCGCAAGATGTGGAATTTGTGCAGGGTTGTACTCTTCCTGTTGATTTTGGTGACATCTATTGTCAGTCAACTGAAACTCTTGTCATTAATATATGCCAAATTCCCCTTTGGATCTTCTACACGACTTTCTCTTTCTTCTTCCTCCAGTCTGCATTGTATGGTCATAACTCAACTATTTCATTGCTGGTGTTCTTTTTTCCCACTTTTATTTTTTTTTATTTTTTATTTTTTTTTTTGATTTTTCGAGATAGGGTTTCTCCGTAGCTTTTGGTTCCTGTCCTGGAACTAGCTCTTGTAGACCAGGCTGGCCTCGAACTCATAGAGATCCGCCTGCCTCTGCCTCCCGAGTGCTGGGATTAAAGGCGTGCGCCACCACCGCCCGGCTTTTTTTCACTTTTAAATGACTTCACAGAACTAAATTATCTACCTCTTCCAATCCTGAAAATTTCATTATGAAATCCTCCAAAATGACAAACCATAGTGAACCAAGAGGATTAAACCTAATTATATGGCCCAAATCAGTCAGCACTGATCTAAATAACACAGATGATTCTCTCTCTCTCTCTTTCTCTCTCTCTCTCTCTCTCTCTCTCTCTCTCTCTCTCACACACACACACACACACACACACACACGTTTGTGCTCTGAGCTGTTTAGTATTTTAAAAAAGAGGCCAGAGGTTGGCAAAATGGCTCGGTGATTAATGTCACTTCCCTTCAAACCTGAGGCCTGAGTTTAATTACCAGAACCTACATGGTTGGAAGGAGAAAACTCTCTCACAACTTGTCTTTTAGGCTCCACACACTAAATATATTAATATTTTGTTTTGTTTCACTTTAAATTGTGTGTATGCAGGGAATATGTGCACGTGAGAGCAGTGCCCAAGGAGACCAAAGAGAGCTGGAGTTACAACCACTTGTGAGCCGCGGCCTGGGTGCTGAGAATAGAACTTAGGTCTTCTGCAATAACCAATAACTGCTGAGCCACCTCTCCAGTTTAACCCAACTCCCACCTCCGCCCCAAAATGAAAAATAAGTAAGAAGACGCTGAGGCTGGGGATATGGCTACTTTGGTAGAGGGCTTGCCTAGCATGAACGAAGCCCTCGGTTGGATCCCAGCACTGCACATAAGTCAGGTTTGGTGGTGCATGCCTGCTAATCCATCACTCTCGGGAGTGCGAGGCAGGAGGATGAGAAATTCAGAACCATCAGGTACACAGGGAGTTAGAAGACAGCCTGGGATGCAGAAGAGCTTGACTCAAAAAGAAAAAGAGAGAGAGAGAGAGAGAGAGAGAGAGAGACCAGAAACAGCCGCAAAATCTGTTCACTCTTATCTCCTCCCACACAGAAAAAGCACTCAGCGCAACCGCAAGAACAAAGATTAAGTTTATCGTCCCACCCCGAGCTGGAACCACTGGGACGGGGGAGGACGACCTCGAGGCGGAACTCCCCAGCCCCGCCCCGTTAGCCCGGAGGACTAGAAGCGCGGAAGCCAGGTCGCCACACTTCCTGTGTCCCGCCTCGCTCGCCACACTTCCTGTTGATCCCTGCGGCGGGGGGCCGGGCCGAGGGGCGGGCCGCCGGTCTCAGGGCAGGCGCGGGCAGGGAGCTGAGCCTCCAGTCCTCGGAGCGTCCCGCGTCCCCGGCCTCGAGTCCCACGCTCCGCCGCCGCCGCCGAGCCATGCCCGCCGTAGACAAGCTCCTGCTGGAGGAGGCGCTGCAGGACAGCCCCCAGGTACCGCCGGGGAGGTCGGGGATCTCGCTGTCCGCCTCCCGGGGCTTAGAACGGGAAAGTTTTTAAAGAGTCTGGTGCAGGAAAAGATGCCAACGCTGTGCGCAAAGGCACTGCTGGTACCACCGATTTCAAGAGAACTGATGAATGCAGGGGCCGGAATGGGAAGCAGAGAAAGCCTGGAACGGTCGACCCAGGCCTCCCTTTGGCACTTTTTCTAGTGGTGAAGAGAAAATTAACTTTGGCCTCATTTGAGCCACGGGGTGGTGGTGGTGTGTGCGGGTGTGTGTGTCCGGGGGGACTTCGTTAGCATCGTGGAGATGTGAATCAAGTCGTTTGAGCTGGAGAGTGAAAACTGGCAGGCAGAGCAGAGTGTCGTTGGTTCAGAATTCAGCACGCCTTTCTCCAGGGAGCTACTGTTCCCTTAACCTCCTGCCCTCTTCCTAGCTTTTCTGATACAGCATCCCTAGCTTAGTTAACTAAATACGTTTATCCCCTGGCATCTCAGTCCCTAAAATGTTAGAAAGGATTAAACTGTTCTTTTACAGTTTCTCCCCTCCTTCTGGTCTCCTTCCTTTTTTCCTCCTGAGTGAATTGCGCCTCCCAGATGGAGTTCTGACGGACTCACCTGCGCTTCTGCCCCTCTCCCTTGAAGGGGAAATCAAAAGGGCAGTGTGCACCTGTGTCCGAGCTCGTTTCTTTGTAATTGTTTTCAGGCAGGATGTGTAAGTAAGCTGTGATTATTACTCCCAGTACTTGGTTTTTGATACAAGGTCTTACTAGGTCTTACTAAGTAGCCGTCCGTAGCTGGCCTGAAACTTGCTTTGTAGACCAGGCTAGCCTTGAACTGCCATCTTGAGAGCGGAAATTACAGCTGGGCGCTCTCACGCCTAATTTTTTTTATTGATTTGTTTGGGTTTTGTTGTTGTTGTTTGCTTTTTATAGATTGGCATCTATTGTGCTAACTTTTGGCGGCCTCTTTGTACAGCGCCGGCTGTCAGGTGTTTGGTTTGGACCACAGCCTGTGGTGGGAGAGGCATTTCAGTCTTCCCCACCTGCTTTAAGAATCTGAACTTGAGCAGGTGGAAGTCATGATCATCATGGTTAGGAACAGAGATCTCCATTCGCTTTGTATTCGGGGACGCTGAAGGTCAACCATAGACTGCTTTCCTAGCCAGCCGTGGCGATGGTTGAGCCAGGCTGTCCTTGTGGACGTAACCCGGGGTAGCGTTCCAGGGCGTCACACGAGTGGGTGTGCTCTTTTTCTGAGTGGCATAAAGGATGTACTCGGTTTTGGGAGACACAGAAAGACACTGGCAACGAGTCTGGAGACCTGGGTTGCAGTTCTGGCTCAATTTTCTCATCTGCAGAAACTACAGGAGACAAGGGACGTGGAGCCGATGGTCTTGAAGGTGGTAGAGCAGTTTAAAATTATATCCTATCTACATGATCTACAACTTTGAGCTGGGGGGGGGGCACAATGTTTAGACACATTGTCATTCTTATCTGGCATTCTTCTTAACTTTTTAAACACTTTTTTCTTTAGTAAAGGCTTATTAGATAGTTGGCTTCCCTGCAAAGTTATAAAGTTCTTATTTATTTAATTTGGACACTTGTTTTGTTGTCTTTCTTCTAAGGAATATTTTTTTATTCCTTAATAATTTCACGTATTTACACAGTGTATCTTTATCATATCCCCTCCTTCCCCCCTCCCCTTTCTCCAGACACCCCCTCCAGCCTGTTTCCCACCCATTTTCCTGTCCCCCCCCCCATAACACACAAAATCTAATGACTGCTTTCCTCATATGCATGGGTGTGTCTGGCCATCCAGTGGAACCAGGGTGACCTCCCAGCAGCCACACCCCCAAAGAAAACTGTCCCTCCCAGAAGCCATCAGCAGCCAGCTTCTCAGCTGAGGGTGGGGCCTCTGGGTGCCTCCATTTGATGCTGGGATGTTGGCTGGCGTTATCTTGTGGAGGTGACCACATTGCTATGAGTTCATGAGCTGGAGGGCTGAGTGTGTCCAGAAGAAGCATTCCACAACACTACCCCTCATTCTCTCCACCCCCCCCCCCCTTCTGCGACATTTCCTGATCCTTCCTATAGATGTGTGTGGCTGTGGGCATGTGTACGTGGAGGTCAGAGTACAGTTTGTGGAAATCGCTTCTCTCCTTCCACGATGTGGGTTCCAAGGATTGATTGCAGGTCGTTAGACTTGGTGACAAGTGCCCTTACACGTTGAGCCACCTGTAGGAATCTGTCATTGCTGTTGAGACTGGTTCTCTCCTCTCTGGGCTTCTGAGTGTGGCTGCTGTATGGGAGAGAAGCTAGCTTTAGGCATCTTTCACAGTCCTCAGAGCTTGGCTGTCTCTGGTTTCTGTGTAGTGTGTGCAGGATGGCAGCTCTCCTCCCAGGAGACCCAGAGGCGTGGAATTGAGTAGCACTGAAACCATTTCTTTCTTTTTATGTGAAAGAATTAAACAAGAGCAAATGCCTAGAATTCAGGATTGTCCAACCTCTTGGCTTCTGTGGGCTCTATTTTCATCTCCAAAGTTTACACTGGAGAGTTGCAAAAAGAAAAAATTGCAGAAATCTGATTGAGTTAAGAATGCTTGTAATTCTGCATCGAGTTGCATTCATGTCTCTCTTGGGTTATGGGCTGAACATGCCTGGTCTGGATCGTACATGGCACATGCCCGGTACTACATGCTTTTTATTCGTGCACTCAGACTTTCCAGCAGTCTCGAGATCACTTAGTAAGATGGAGGAGGGGCAGAGAAACCAAATGTGTACCCTAAAGAAGTGCAGGCAGCAGGAGTAAAGGGTTTTGCTTATGTGGTGCAGGGGAGTGAGCCGGGCCTTAGCGTGCCAGCCTGGGGGACTGTTTAAGTTAGCCCTGTTCCCTAGCACCTGGCTTTCTATGGTGCAAAATATTGATTCACAAGGAGAGGAAAAAGATACTGAGATCCCATGAGCTGTTTGTTTCTTCTTGGTGGAGGCGGAAGAGTTAGGAGGTTGCTTGGGTAACCTGGTTACACAGGACATAGTGAATAGGGAGCTTTTGTATTTGAACCTAATTGCCCCAAGCACTGCATAGAAGTTGATGGGTCTTGGATATGACGGTTTTCCTGTTCCTCAGCGTGCAGGTGTGCACGCTGTATTGCAAAACTAGTATTGGTGTATGTATTCTTTCTGCTGATCACTGGTGCGTGAGTATTTGGAACGTGAAGAGACGCGTCCCCATCCCTGTCTGTGAGCCTTTGCCCTGCTGGCCAGGCTCTGGTAGCTGCTGGAAACATGACCATCAACTAGATAGGCCTATCTGCCCTTGACTGGCTACGGTCTGTTCCTGGGGCAGATAAGCGGCTGTTCCGGGACAGTGTGAGTCCTGCTGTAATAGATAGGGACAGAGGCACAGCCCGGAGCCCCAGCAGCACACGTTGCACCCTTCTTTAGTGTCTTACTCTCCCATGTTGTATGCGACACGACTTCCCAGTGAGGTGGGATGAAGTACTGCTTCATCCTTGGTGTTGTGGGTTGAGCTGTGTTTCTTTGGCAGTAGGCATAGCAGAAACAGAGATGAAAGACTTGGTTCTGAGGTCGTGCCGTGGCCCAGCTGGGCGCAGTCCTCCTCAGCAATCAGAGCATTCTTTATCTCAGTGAGATGCTTCCAAACACGCCCGGTTTTGTGTGGCTTCCTTGTAGATGGAGTTTATCCCGTAGCTCTGCGAACAGCACATTTTTCCATTCGTCGTGGTTCTGTTATGATGTTTCTCTCCCTACACCAAATTAGGGGGATAAACATCTTTGTTTAACTTACATTTTAAAGAAACAAAGTATGGGCGCTTTGAAATTGGGTGCTTACACAATTGTGTGCTATTGAGAATGTCAGGGCTGTTTGGTTAGGTAACACCCGGATGTTTACTCTAAGGTAAAGGAATGCTGTGGAGCTGAGGTCAGGCCCACAGAGTGCTTGGTCTTGCTTGTCCGGCTGCAGACATTCCCCTAGAATGTAGGCTAGTAGAAAGGATGGAGTCAGACCCTGAGCCTGCCACTTACCGGGGCTTTTATTCAGCCTCTGAGCCTTGGTGTGCGTGCACATAACGTGAGAATGAAAACAGCTCCTCAGCTGAGCTGTTCTGAAGAGTAAACAGCATATGTCAAGCGTGACCGTGTACTGCGGTGGCTCCCTAGTGAGTGACGTTACTGTCTGCACACAGTGCACACCCCTGTTGGACCCATGTGTGAGACTTTGAGCATCTGGTGTGCCTTTCCTGACACATCCATTCTGTGTGTCAGGGCATTCCTCTCTCTGCCCATACATTGGGCACAGTGGATGCTGATGTTGTGTGTAGCAGAGCGGTCCCTTGGGAACTGGGAGTTCTTTACCGGGCGTGATCACTGTCCGCTTGAGTCCAGTGCTCAGATGGTTAAAACAAGGCAGGACCATGATGCAGTTCTCTGACAGTTCCTGGAGGTGAGGGATAGAAAGTGGGATGATCCAGCTGGGCCACGGTGGCGCACGCCTTTAATCCCAGCTCCCGGGAAGCAGAGGCAGGCGGATCTCTGTGAGTTCGAGGCCACCCTGGTCTACAGAGTGAGTTCCAGGACAGCTAAGGCTACACAGGGAAGCCCTGCCCTGAAAACAAAACACACAAGGAAAGAGAGGTAGTCAAAGAGAATCCAGCTCCAGTCCTCCTGTGTCTTGGGCTGTCTCCACAGAGCACACCCAGTGATGAGACTCTTGATGCTGCTGGCGGCACGGTCCTTGCAGTGGACCCGATTTATGTCTCAGCCGGACCAGCTTTGGGAGGTCATCATCAGTGTGACATAGCAAGAGTCAGCTAATTGTTCTTCAGGTTGGTCTTGACTATTAATTGATGTGGGCGGGTCCAGTGCATGGGTGGGGAAGGGCACCCGGGCTAAGGAAGCTCTGTAGCAGGAGCCCAAGAGTGAGCAGTAAGTGTTCCTCCGTGGTTTCTGCTGGAGCTCCTGCCCTGTCTTCCCTCAGTGTTGTAAGTGTGACGTATAAGGAACCTAGAACAGAGATGGAACACCCTGAGCCCTGAGCCCCAGCTTCAGCTCCTGGAAAGCAAGCGTAATGTGACCACGGTATCTGGTTATGAAGCTGTTGCGTTAGTGTCAAATGTCCCGTGCCTATCAGTGTCTGATCCAAGGAGTTCCCCTGGAGTTCTTCCTGCTGACTTTGTAGGAGACGGTTGTGTATCCCTCCTCTTCTAGCCATCACTCATCTTTATTTTGTTCCTTAGAGTATAATGAGAAAACATTAGGGTTCAGCTAAATGAACAAGTAATAATTTTAAAAATTAAAATCTCCATAATCCAGTTGTATTACTTCTTGTGTCCCCAGGCATGCTGTTTATAGTAAGAAGGGTGTTTGGATCTTTGTAGGCTCTGTGGGACCCTGCAGCATTGGATCATGAACACACAGGCAACCGCACTGTTGGAAGGCACCCTTAGATATGAACACACAGGTAACCGCACTGTTGGAAGGCACCCTTAGATATGAACACACAGGTAACCGCACTGTTGGATGGCACCCTTAGATATGAACACGGCAACTGTACTGTTGGAAGGCACCCTTAGATATGAACACACAGGTAACCGCACTGTTGGAAGGCATCCTTAGATATGAACACACAGGTAACCGCACTGTTGGAAGGCATCCTTAGATATGAACACACAGGTAACCGCACTGTTGGAAGGCACCCTTAGATATGAACACACAGGTAACCGCACTGTTGGAAGGCACCCTTAGATATGAACACACAGGTAACCGCACTGTTGGAAGGCACCCTTAGATATGAACACACAGGTAACCGCACTGTTGGAAGGCACCCTTAGATATGAACACACAGGTAACTGCACTGTTGGAAGGCACCCTTAGATATGAACACACAGGTAACTGTACTGTTGGATGGCACCCTTAGATATGAACACACGGGCAACTGTACTGTTGGAAGGCACCCTTAGATATGAACACACGGCAACCGTACTGTTGGAAGGCATCCTTAGATATGAACACACAGGTAACTGTACTGTTGGATGGCACCCTTAGATATGAACACACGGGCAACTGTACTGTTGGATGGCACCCTTAGATATGAACACACGGGCAACTGTACTGTTGGATGGCATCCTTAGATATGAACACACGGCAACCGTACTGTTGGAAGGCATCCTTAGATATAAACACGGTAACTGCACTGTTGGATGGCACCCTTAGATATGAACTCACAGGCAACTGTACTGTTGGATGGTATCCTTAGATATGAACACACAGGCAACTGCACTGTTGGATGGCACCCTTAGATATGAACACACAGGCAACTGTACTGTTGGATGGCACCCTTAGATATGCGCACGGCTGTAGCATTCAGATGAAGCCACCTTTTAAAGCTCTGAGCACCAGCTGTGAGCACCCCCCACATCACAGCGTCCTGGTCCTTGAGACTCCCCAGCAGGCTCAGCCCCCACTGACCTTGATGTCACTTTCGTCCCCTCAGTCCTCTGGCTGGGGTTTCAGCACACTCGGTCTGAGAGCAGGGAGGCAAATGCCATGATTGCTGAGTGCAGGTCACCATTTTAATAACCAAACAGGACACTTTCAGGAGCTGCCATTTTTCCTTCTGATGGTCATCCGTCTGGATTCTGACATCTGGGGGGTCATAGCAGTGATGCTTATTCACACAGAATAGAATGGTAAAGAAAATCTGTGCGTATGTTCTATTTAGCTGTGTGTCACTTGACGCCGTCTTTGTTTATACCTGGTATCGGTGCATCTCCTGCTCTGAGTCTGAACTTTAGGAAGTTTGCGGAACTCTTCTGGCAGGAGCGGTCTGCCGTGTGAGCACCCGTCCTCATGGAGAACTGTGTACAAAACTGTCTTATGTTTCACGGTTCATTGCCTGTGATCCCTTCACTCTACGTTTGACCGGGAAGACCCAGGGCAAAGAAGGATAAGCCCCCAGCTTGTGAGCAAAGTCAAGAGTAGGCCTGGTGGGAGAAATGAAGATCCCAAAGCTAGGTCCTTACTCTAGGCTCTCAGAGTGTCTGGGTCCAGGGAGCTCTGGTCCCGGTAGGTGGTGACCTAGGAGCAGGGAGACCCCAGGAGTGGCAGAACATAGTGGCCACATAGACCACTTCTGACCTTATTTTAGCTTAGATAGCTTAGAAAAAGAAGGAATTGAAATTCAGTTGCAAGAAAGTGATGAGCATTAATGGTTTGCAAAGTGCTATGTGTGTGACCTCACTGTTGGCTTCCTGTTCCTGCTTCGTCTCGTTGGCTGTTGACCACTGTTGCAAATTCACATATGTGAATAGATCTCTGTTACATGATGCCATAAGTCTGTTCACACACCACCCAGCATGTAAAGATTTCACTAGTGCTCAGGGTGTATCACGCCCTGTGTGTGAGCATGGCAGGAACTACCCTCTAGTGTCCACACACTGTGTGAGCGTGACAGGAACTACCCTCTAGTGTCCACACACTGTGAGCATGGCAGGAACTACCCTCTAGTGTCCACACACTGTGTGAGCGTGGCAGGAACTACCCTCTAGTGTCCACTCACTGTGTGTGAGTGTGGCAGGAACTACCCTCTAGTGTCCACGCACTGTGTGTGAGTGTGGCAGGAACTACCCTCTAGTGTCCACGTACTGTGTGTGAGTGTGGCAGGAACTACCCTCTAGTGTCCACGCACTGTGTGTGAGTGTGGCAGGAACTACCCTCTAGTGTCCACGTACTGTGTGAGTGTGGCAGGAACTACCTTCTAGGCGCTGCTGCCCTCAGGACTGAGCTCTTCCTGAGAGAAGGGGCCAGCATAATGGTTGCCACTTGAGTTGTACGCCAAGAGCTTCTACCACTGGGCCAGGACATTTGCGATACCTGGCCATGAGTTTAAAAAGTTCTACTACCCTCCCCCCTCCCCACCCCCACAGAATCTGACTGCATGCTATCTTAAGAGGAAACAGTGGCTGTCTGCAGGGTACCCTGGGCTGCAGACACCCGAGCAGCTGGTGGAGGCTGAGTATTAAGGTGGCTCTGCTGGCTGACCAGCCCGGTGCTGTGGGACTCATGTTCCCTGTGTGGACTAGAAGGAGAGGCTGTCCTTTCCGACACTGGTTGCTGAGTGGACTTGGGCATGGGTAGGCGCTGAGGTCAGCACAGACAATTATCCTTCGTGGTTTCCTGCGGTGTTGAGTGAGAGCCAGGGCCTTGGGTACTCTCCACTGAGCTGCACGCCCAGCCTGTGGGAATGGGCTCTCTCTCCTGGTCCTGAGCAGGTGTTGTCTGCTTGTTCCTGCTCTGTTGTGGGAAGGATGAGAGCAGAGTTAACCAGACAGATACTGTCCTGTGCTCAATGGGCCCCTTCCTCCTGCCTAGCTGTTGCTGAGAGTAAAATTAACCCCTTCTTCTCTGCCTGCAGACGCGCTCCTTGCTGAGTGTATTTGAAGAAGATGCTGGCACCCTCACAGACTACACCAACCAGCTGCTGCAGGCCATGCAACGTGTCTATGGAGCACAGGTATGCCGCTCACCCTTCTCTGGAGGATGAAAAGTTTGAGTCTGAAAAGAAATCTCACTTAAAATTTTGCAATAAAACCAATCAGAGGCCGAGAAAATGGCTTAGCGAAGACCTGAGGTGGAACCCCAGAACCCATCTAACAGAGCTGGGCATGGTATTGGGCTAGTGTCTGCCCAGTGTTTCTGGGTATAGACAGGCAGACCCCTAATCTGTGTGCTCCGAGGGAGAGACCATCTCAGGAAGGGGGATGGCTTCTAAGGGAGGAATGGGAGATTGAGCTCTGGCCTCTGTGGACGTGTTCACTTGTCTATATATGCACCCCCATACATGAACATGTTCACACACGTGTATGTACCCCCATGCATGAACATGTTTGCACACATGTATATATATATGTACCCCTTGCATGAACATGTTTGCACACATGTATAGATATGTACCCCATGCACGAACATGTTTGCATACATGTGTATATATATGTACCCCTTGCACGAACATGTTTGCACACATGTATAGATATGTACCCCATGCATGAAAATGTTTGCACACATGTATATATATATGTACCCCCATGCACGAACATGTTTGCACACATGTATAGATATGTACCCCCTTGCATGAACATGTTCACATATCAGAATTGTTTTTCTTATTTTCCTTCTCGGAAAACCAAGACAGTCTTGTTTCCTTTGAGACAGAGCTGGGGTCTTCCTGTAGCCTGCACAGGAGAGGGCCCACATAACTGCTTTTGATTTTCTTTTGACTCCAACCCCAAAGGGAGACACTGGCGTCCGCTCTCCCCGCTGTGAATGAGTGAGCTCAGTGTCTCGATGCCGTTTGTTTTTCTCGTTATTGGGCAGTCTTGGATGTCAGTGTGGGAGGACAGAAATGGCTTTTCAAAGGCTTTCCTCTGAAGATGGGGGTGCCTCTTTGTTTTGAGGAACAAATATCTCGACTTGCAAATCCATGCAAAATAATTTGCTGAGTAGCGAAAGTAAATCTCTTTACAAACAAGAACGGCCACATGTGTCGCTTTCTAAGGAAGATGTGAGTCACTGACATACAGAATTGTTACTCATCAGAGTATCAGTAACAGTAGATAGTTTCCAGTGACCCTAAATCTGTATGTGCTTACATTCCTTTCGCTCTTTGATGATTTGAAGGATATAAATGCCACAGGCAGCCATGTATAGCTAGTGGGGCCAGCAAGATGGCTCAGAGGGTCGCGGTACCTACCACCAGGCTTGACGGTCTAAATTCCATTCCCAGAACTGACATGGTAGAATGAGAAAACCAACTCTTACCGGTTGTTCTCTGACCCCCGCCTGTGTGCTTGGCATGCACAGCCACACATAAATCACATCCATACACAAAAGGAAGCAATAAAGTACAATTTAAAATATATTCGTATATAGTCATTACTCAGTATCCGCCGTAAGAGCCCTAGTCTCAGCCTTTAGAGAACTTAAAGGTCAGGAGACAGACAGTTGCTGTTGAATGTGGGAAGGCCTAGGAGGAGGCTCACCTGACTCCCTCCCTTCTCCCTCTCTTCCTCTTTTCTTTGTTTGAGACCATGTTTCTCTGTGTAGCTCTAGCTGTCCTGGAACTTACTCTGTACACCAGGCTGGTCTCAAACTCACAGATTCTCCGCTGCCTCTGGAGTGCTTGGGATTAAAGGCGTGCGCCACCACTACCCGGCCTCTTCTTGATTTTCTGAGACAGGCTCTTAGTGAGCCAGGCTGGCCCAGAGCTCAGTGTGTAGCTGCTGATCCTCCTGCCTCTCTCCCAGACACATGCCAGCACACCCAGCTCACAGTGCCCTCTTGAAGCGCGAGCTCTGAGGGGCCATGGGGCGCTGGAGTAAGGACCTAGTCTAGGCAGTTCAGAGCCAGCGTCAGGGCTAGAGAGAGAGACTCACAAACCGCAGGATCAGGCCAGAATGACTTAGTAAACAGATAGTGTGTTTGCTGGTGGGACACTGAGTTTGAAGCCAGCCCGGGCTACTTGGTGAGATGCTGCCTCAAAACAAACAAACAAACAGTTTGTTGCAGTGCTAGGCTTTGAACCTGGGCCTCGAGGCGTGCTAGGCAAGTGTTCTGCTGCCGAGCCCCGTTCCCAGGCCGCAGACCTAGTCTGATGTTCAGGAGAGCTTTGTACTTGTCTGTGATCGTCAGCCCTCATTTATTTTGATAAACCTTTCAGAATGTGGGAACATGAGGACTTTTCTACGATTTTCCTTGATGACTTATTTAGAATGTTTTTCTAGTTTTCTCTGAGTATTCCAGATTTATACAATAGGAAAAAAAATTGGCCGTACTTATCTCTGACCTCCTTGCTTGCTGTTTAGTGACTTTGAATGCTGCCGTTAAACGGTCCAGCCTCCTCTTTAATGCTCCCAAGCTCCGAGACCTCAATGGCTCTGTGTCCCCCACTTGCAGGATCTCTGCCCTGCTCTCCACAACTGTGACAGCCATTGGCTGCTGAGTCCAAACACTTCCTACCGCGTTTTTTTCTTCTAGGCCAGAATTGTGGCTCAGTGTGCCAAAATTAAGTAGGTCTTGCATACCGAGAGGCTGGGCTGGGCTTTTAACTCGAAGCACATGGCCGTCATGTGGTCTGTCCTCCGGCCACAGCCCTCCTCCCTGCTGGCTGCTGCAGAGCTGCGGAAATGCCCTTGCCAGCTGGCCAGCAGCAGCATCCAGATGGGCACGGGCAGGCCATGACTTTTCAGGTTTACTGGAAGGACCGAGATGTGTTTTGCTTGCTTTGATATGTGTATATTTTAAGTTAGTAATACTTTTCTGTTTTCATTCTGGCCATCCCCCTGCCCCCAACTCTTTTGGTTTTATTTCATGTTATTCCTTAAATATTTTATACTTAAATATATTGAATTATATTAGAGTTTGATTTTTTTTTTAACCAAGACATAGTTTTTCACTATTATGTTTTTAAAGTAGTTTCATGTGGCCGGTAAGACACAGGTATTTTTAATCAGCCTGCTGGGTACACTTCGGATTCTGCTCAATGAGTGTCCTCTGGGCTTAGTTTAGAAAGAGAAGAGCAAGAAAATAGAGAAGGTGAGATTAAAGTTGATGTCTCAGAACAGAAAGCTAGAAGCCTTGACTGGGAATCGGGACAAGAGTCGTTCTCTGGGTAGAGACACTTTCCGTACGCCATGTGAACACAGACTAATTTAGAGAAAGGCCAGGGATCTTTGGGAACATAAAAGGACTCTGAAGTTAATGTTGACATTAAGTATGACCTCAGGAATGAAAGAGCAAGCGGGTGTCTAACATAAAGAAATGGCTGTCATGTATTGGATTTATAAACAGTGCCCTCTTTATCTTTACTAATATTAATTACATCGTAGACCATGTTATGTGCTAGACTTCAATAAATGTACCTGTTTATACCTTAGCCTTCTACCCTGTAATCAGATACGGTTTCTATGGCTTATAAAATACTGAAAGGTGCCGTCCTGCAGAGGAGAATTTGTAGAGGTTTATAGTCGGGCCCTAACACACTTGTTTACAGCTGGGCCCTAACATACTAGTTTATAGTCAGGCCCTAACATACTAGTTTATAGTCAGGTCCCAACATACTAGTTTATAGTCAGTTCCTAACACACTAGTTTATAGTCGGTTCCTAGCACACTAGTTTATAGTCAGGCCCTAGCATACTAGTTTATAGTCGGGCCCTAATACACTAGTTTATAGTCAGTTCCTAATACACTAGTTTACAGCCGGGCCCTAATACACTAGTTTATAGTCAGTTCCTAACACACTAGTTTACAGCCGGGCCCTAATACACTAGTTTATAGTCGGGTCCTAATACACTAGTTTGATAATGACATGATTAGCTAGTTCTTTCTTTGTTTGTTTTTTAATTATATACCCAGTAGAACAGAATGCCCTCCTTGAAGGTTAGGATACAAATTATCTAGGTTACAGACATTGTATAAATAAAATCAGGTGTGTGCACACGCACTGCACAGTATGTATGCATAACTCCTGTTGCTATATTCACACAATGATAATGTGACAATTACAGTTTTAAAAAAGAAAAATAGAGTTCTGAGAGCTGACCCCTTACTGTGGCTGTTTGGAGGGTGTTTAGATTTCATCTGGCTTAACCTCTGAAGTGAGCTTGCAAGTTAGCAAGGGGGTTGGCGTCTTGGGGCAGGGGCCCGTGTGGGCCCATTTTGTCTCTCAGCTGGCAGAAGAGCCATTGCCCATGCTAGGAGTGAGCCCCCATCATGGCTGTTCAGTGCAGAGGAAGAGGAAGGCACACACCCTTCATACTAGCGAGCAAAAGCTGGTTGCTTAGGACTCTGTGCTGCTTTTCAGTACCGGACAAGTGTTCAGAATGCCTGAAGTGCCCAGACAAGAACATAAAGACGTCTATGCAGTTTCGCTGACACACATTTGGCATACAATACATTTGATACGGTACTTGCTTTAAATCTGTGCGTCTGATAATTGTTTCTTTCCTAAATATGTTTAAAGTTATTTTTTTATTTTTATTTTTTACCACTGGACTCAGGCTTAGGAGAGAGCTGTTTAGATAGATCATCCTCTCAGCTGTCAGACAGATGGGGGCTCTGGCCATGGCCAGGAAGGCTGTCTGTTGCTAGGGTAGTGAAACTGGCGGTTCTCAGTACCGGCCCTTTCTCCACTAGCGGAAGACGAGCCGCTCTGGTTGGTGGCTTTGGTCTGGGGCAGTGTCTTAATAAATTAGATAAAGTTTTTAAGAGTGTGGGTGTCGATCCCCCTGGAGCTGGGGTTAAAGAGCCCCCTGCATGGGTGCTGGGTGTCAAACTCCTGTCCTCTGCAAGAAGAGCAAGTGCTCTTACCCACTGACCTGTCTCCAGCCCTTGGTGAGTTTCTCTTCAAAGAGACAGCCGTGGTAAAGCTCCTTTCTTCCCCCAGCAAAGCAGGTTAATCCGGTCATCTCTCTGCAGCTGCTCCCCTTGGTTTGGGGTTTTGGCCATTCGTTTGTTT